TGGATCTGTTCCTAAGAGTCCTCAAAGAGAAATGTCACTACAAGCTGTCATGGGATGGCTCAAAGTACCCTTTGATCTTACAATCAGAGTCCCTGTGCACAGTGGGACGGGAAGCACTGCCTGGCCATCTTTTACTTGTTCTGACCTGCTGTCCTGAAAAAAAGGGAGGGGAGAAGGGATTAGAGGCAGCAAAGCAGATCATGTTTTTTTCCAAGTGAAAAAAATTATTTTGTTTTGTTTGTAAAGAGCATTTGTGAAAAAAGCACTTCCTATTCAGATTATCCATCACAGCGAAGGGTGATCGGTAGTGGAGTCAATACACAACTAGACTCAAATTACGCTGCTTGGAGAGCTTTTCAAGATTTGCTTGAATTCTTCACCTGACCCAGTAGATCTTAAAGGCAGATAATCAGTGGGAACATCAAGCTGGCATAATATTAAAGATTCACCAGTGGCTGTGATTCTTTAGTGTCCGTGTAAAGTTTGTTTAACTTGCTGCAGCAAGAAGCCATAACAATTAGAATAGAACAGCAGGCACTTGCAGGTAGTCCTAGAACCAGCACTCTCTACAGAGGCTCAGATATCGGCCACGGCCAGGAGTTGCTTTTATCATACTTGATTGCCCAGTTGTGCCCCTACTTGGGTAAGAAATGCCTAAAAACAATGGTCCACGCGTTAGCAATCTCAAAAATAAACTACTGCAGTGCTCTCTATGTAGGGCTGCCCATGATGACAGTACAGAAACTCCAGCAGGTCAAAAGTGAGGTTGCCAGACTGATCTCTGGGACTAGCAAATCCGATCATATATCCCTAGTCTTGGACCACCAACATTGGCTCCCTGTCAATTTCCGTGCTCAACTCAAAATGCTGGTGCTACTTGTCCAAACGATTCTCCCAGAAAACAGTTACCCATTTCATACACTCCTCCCAAGCCACATTGTTACGTAAAAAGGGCCACACTGAGGGAGACTGAAAAGGTGAATGAGGAATGTGGCCTTTTCAGTGGTGGCCTCTATTCTGCAGAACAAGTTTCCAGCCAAAGTGCACTAGAAAGACTTCATCCATCTCCTGATATTTAGGAAGAACTCTATAAAGCAGCTTTATCCTCAGATGTTAATATTATTTTTTAAATTTAGGTCTATCTTTTTGCCAGCTGTGTTCGAGTTGGTTTATCGCTATATCAATTGTGTTGATATATTGGTGTAAAGCTGGGGGATTTATATCAATCAACATATTGGTTGTGTTCATGTTTTATTCTGGAAACTGCCCAGACTAATGGGGTGGTATAGAAAACAACCAAATAAAATAAATAAAATAAAAGCTGCAGCATTAAAAGGGTTTTAAAATATGAGTGGTCATTTATAGCCATTTGATCAGACAGTTAAAAAATACTGTGCATTTATCTCCTTAATAGAACAATATTATATATTGTTAATATAGAAAGGCATGATAGAGTTACAAATGGAAAACAACATCATCTGAGAGCACTATAAAATCTCATGATTGCACAGCAACAGCCTGATCTTACAGCATCTGTATAATACCCTAATTAAAGAAGAAAGTGCCTAATTGAGACTATTGTAAGAACCAAGGAAGCCACTCTAAACCAGGCCAGACCGTTGCACTGCCTTGCACTGAATTGTCCACACTGATTACTCTCACAGAATTGTTCAAACTGGATTTGGCAAACTTGGTCAGGGACTGACTTGTTCAGATGTTCAGGGGGAAAAAAGAAGTGGGTGGGAATGGGATGCCATGCACCCAGACTTTTTGGATTCCTTACTAAAGACTGGAAAGAAAGCCTATGCATGCAACTGTCCAAATGCAAGTCTCTTTCTGTTTGACTTTAGACTAATGGGGGATCATTTCACATCTTCTAATGAATGCAGGTTGCTTGGTGCAAACAATCCCACCCAAAATCCATCCATCCATCCATCCATCCATCCATCCATCCATCCATCCATCCATCCATCCATCCATCCATCCATCCATCCATCCATCCATCCATCCAT